GTAGAGAAAAGGTATTTAAATAGTTGCCCGTGGTCTGCACCCAATGAATGACTGTTACATTTCAGTTTAATATGTTTATTTTTTTTAACTGCACATTTTCTCAAATTTATGTGAAATATATATATTTTAAAAGGTGCAACTTTACTAGCTTGTCAAGTCACTAGGGTTGTCATTTCCAAAGGCTGCTTTTCCTCTGCAGAAAAAAAACGTACCTATGATTAGGTAAAAGCCTAAAACAACAATACTGTATGCCAAAAAATAAAAATTACAAAGGCACGGCTGTCAATAAAAATGAACAGTTGAGAGGAAAACTGGAACTTTCTTTTCAAAATGAATGGACTCTAAGGTGTTCATTTGTCTTGAGAAAGTTTAAATCATAAATCATGAAACAGTGATGGTTTTATTTTTCACTCAGTTATTTAGAAACAGCAAAAAGAAAATCAATAAAAGCTGCATGTTTTTTTTTTCATTTTTCTAGTTTAACTTAAATGTACACAACATACTTCTGTGTTCTGTGAGACGATATTTTAAAAAAGGTGATTTTTATAATCATATTTAGGGTTCACTAGCATAATTCTTCACAGTGGTCAAGGCAGTCCAATAACTATAAACTAATGAAACTAATCTCAGCAAATTTTCCAAGTAAAAAATGCAGATTATGATTGTAAGGGCTGTATTTTTCTCTTATTGTTGTAAAAGAAGAAACACTTCAGTGACCTCCGATTGCTTCCTAAACTGCTGCTGCTGCATGCCAGCTGCACACTGCTCAGACAGAATGACAAACCTTGGTATTGAATGGTTCCCTCCCTAATGGCTTCGCTCACTTAGGCTTGCGGACTTCCATGCCTCCATAAATTTCTGTTGTTCTCCACCCGTATTGTAAATCTTCATGGTAAGGCCACTAATAGCAAGTTCTAATCAGATCCAGACAGGCCTCTGTGCTGTGGCCCAGTGATATAATCACATTTTTATTTGATAATCAAATAAAGGGTGGAATGGAATACTTGAGGCGTATTGTGGTTTTTCTTTGGCTTTTTTTTCTTCTAAACTGGCAGATTTTCAGCACTAATCTGTCTTTAGTTGGGGGAGAAAACGTTAAGTGTGTTCCCTAATATGACTAATAACTGCTCTCCATTAAGAGAGCATTAATCTGAGCACTGAGCAGAAATGGAGTGACAGGGAGTCATTGAGAAAAAGGCAGAGGAAATGTGTGGGAAGAGTGACATCACCGAGCCACGAGCCTCAGCTTCAACAGGGGGGGATTCCTGCAGAAGAGAGGATGACTTGCAAAGACCCCACTGTGTTTTGGCACCGATTGGCAGAAGTTGCGACGGAGCAGCAGCTTCACTCTGCAGCTCTTTTGGCAACTGGCCACACTTTGTCAAAGCAGCACAGCTTCTTTCAGCACAGGCTTATTTCTCAATTGTAATCTGTTAAAGGGGCAATGTAAAACCAACTTTTGAGTTTTATATCATGTTCTAATATTATATTCTCATAAAAAAAACATGCCCAAAGCCTTGCTTTGACTCATTCATGCATGTTTGAGAAATCCTGCAGCGTTTTTAGGCAGCCATGATGAGGAGCAAAACAACAGGTGGGGACCAGAGACGCCTTTTGGATCCTGAAACGCCCCTGGGTCGTGTCTTTAAGCTGAATTTCCTCATGGCAGAGCACCCCCACGTCCCCACACACCCCGCCCATGACTCCTGCAGGCTCTCAAACAATGGGTGAAACTGAAAGTGAAACTGAAACTGTCTGTTGGTCTTAACACTACTTCTCACTCAGTGAAGCTCTTTTCAGATTAAAAAATACATTTGAGGAAATGCATTTTCAGATGCCAACTAAACTGCATCATAGCCGCAATCCCCCCCGCCCGCATGCGCGCTGAAATGGGCGGGACAGAAGCAGAAGAAGGTTCTTAAAGAGACAGAGGCCAATTTCAAGACATTTAGAAGAGGAAGAGATGAGAAGATAAGTTTATTTTCTATTTAAACATAAAAACAGCATTTTAATTACAACTAAAGGTGACGTATATAATTTATTATGGTATAGTATTTAAACATATGCCTAAGAAACACATAATATTGCCCCTTTAATGTTACCAACTCAGACTTATAGTGGAAAATCAGTGTAGTTTGAATATTTAGATGAGGCACCATCTAGTTTAATGTAGTTTGGAAAACATCTATTGTACAGATACAGTTAAATTTTAAGTCTCATACATATTAGAGAGCAATATTTTTAAAAAGTATTTTTTTTAATTTATATGAAATAAAGTGTAATTACAGTAATGTATCGTAACAAGCAAAAGCACAGAGAGAAACCACTGTTTCTACTATTAGTTTTAATGTGATTGAGATCACACGACCCATTATCTTATGACACATCTGAAGAAAACAAAGTGCATTTTTCAAGAAAGCATGGTGTCATTTTAAAAAGGCAACCTTGTATTCTCGAAATAACAACAGGATCCTCAGTATCATCATTTAGTATCCCTGGCTCTAACCATAACCCTGTACCCTGAAGTTACTTGATGTACCATTTTTCTGCAATAATCATCATAATTTTCATGATTTCTGATAAAATGACTTGTTTATTTGTAAAGTTAATAAATGAACTACAGTAAATGCACGTCAGTACCTTATATTGTGTCATGCATCTCGATCGCTTTTTCGATATTTGGTTAGAAATTGTTTTTATCATCTGAGAAATATCTCTAAACTAAGGGCTATTTTAACTAAATCTGACTTGGAGAGGATCAGTCATGCTTTATCTCTTCTCATTTAGACTTTTGCAACTCTCTTTTTACTTCTTTTAACAAATCTGCAGTCACTCGCTTGCAGTTGGTACAGAATACCGCAGCAAGGCTGTTAACAGGTACTAACAGAAGAGCACACATCACACCAGGTTGATCGTCTCTACATTGGCTACCTGTCAAATGTAGAATTGATTTTAAAATTTTAGTTTGGACTTTTAGAGCTCTTAATGGACAGGCTCCTCAGTATATTACAGAAATGTTGACTCCCTTCTCTTCTGGCCGTAATCTTCGGTCTGCAAGCCAAAATCTTCCAAAGTTTCCTAAAACTAGAACTCGAGGGGACCTGCCCTGTCAGGCTAGAGGTCCTAGATTGTGGACCACCCTGCCCCTGTGTCTCAGTGAGGCTGATTCTGTTGACTTATTTAAGACACTGTTGTTCAGACAAGCTTTCAGCTAAATGTATTAATGTTTTATCAGTCATATTAACATGTTTTATTGTATGTTTTTAGGATTTATTGTAAGGTGTATTTATTTTACCTCTGCTCCCTGTGAAGCACTTTGTGATATGCTATACAAATAAAATTTACTTACTGACAAAATAAGTTGTTTAAAGTCGAGATGACGTCATAAAACTACATTTCTAAGCTTGCCGTCTCTTGGCTATCAAATGTGTCAATGGTGAACTTTAATTAAGCACATTTACTAAATAAAACAGGACTATCCTTTCAGACATGTTTATGATTTGTGCATTCATTCTGACACACGGACTGATAAAATGAGATGAGGTGGAAACTCATCTTGTTATGTGTCAGTGAACAATCTCACATCTGTCTGTCAGAGTAAATCTGAATTCAATCAACAAGATGTTATCGCTTTTACCACTCCATTCCAGGCCACATTTCTCTCCCCACCCCAACCCCCCTCCACCACTCCTTTTCTAATTTATCCCTCTCTGTTTCTTTGGCCAAGGCAGGAGTTATTTTAAAAAAGTAATATGCTCCCTCATCACTTCTGGGCTATTTCAGTCGATATTCACACTACCCCCAAATTGCTTGGACAATTCTGCATATTGTGTTTGAGCCATGAAAGTACTTAAAGACAGATCGCCCAGCACCACTCGCGCCACCAAAGAATGAAAATTGTGGTCATGAGAAAAATAATTTTGGCTGTCGTCTTTCATTCTTCCCCTGCGGTAGTTTCTAATCAGCTCAGATGGAGTCCATCAAACTTTGAACAGTCTTGGCTCAACAGTGGACGGTTTGGTTTTCATTTTTGGAAAAGTGGGGGAGGGGGGGGGGTCGTCTGGAAAAGTAAATTGTTAGAATGTGATGGTGAGGTGTTGCCATCCTGCTGTTTAAGATGTCTGCACTCACAAAGGAAGCTGCTGAAATCCACCCACTAGTCTCATAATTTGGACATGTTTGAATCCTTCCAACTTCAAAAAAAAAAAAAACCTTTTTACTTGCCGAAGTGTCTCAGAAGACTTTACACAACTCATAAAGGCTTACTTCAGCAGGGTTATCAGGAGCAGACACTTACGAGTGAGAACTTGCAGACTTGTACGTAGAGCTGCGTCACCTCCGCCTCTGTTACGGAGACCCCACGTCCCGAGCTGCGTTTGTAACTCTCCAGGTAGGCCATCAGCCAGTCCCTCTGCAGCTCCTGACTCGGATAGAGGCTGTAGTCCACATCAGTCACACCTGGAGCCCAACACATAGTCATGCCTACAGTCAATCTAAGACTTAAGCAGGAAAAAATCTCAGCTTTCAAATTTTAGTAAGTTGTATAAATGTTTGTCTTCAAAATTTCAAGTATAAAACAGAAAATGTGCACAGGAACGCAACACATTTGAGTATTTCTTAGAACTTTTATTTAGCATGCAGTTTGTAAATTCTTATATTTAAGCTTTTATGGAATTCAAATAACATAAAAATATGATTCATATTATAATTATTTACAGAAATCTGCTCATTTATTGGTTAAAAAGCACATTTTAATTTTTAAAAGGAAATAATAAATTGGCTTTATGTTGATTATTCAAAGAGAATAACAAAAGTAATATTATCTGAAACTGAAAATGCATTTTTAAACAAGCTGCATTATTTTTCATTTTAACCTTAAACGTTTTTCTAAATAGAAAATATTTACACTTTTTCCACACTTTTTTTCTACCAGTAATGCCGTTTAATGAAAGGTATGTGTGAAATGAAAGGGGATTTAAACACTATATGGAAATATTTACATAAATAATTCTTCACATTTTTCAGTAAAATCAAGGCTGTTGCTCAATTTTGCACTATGATGCAAATTTTCAGACGTTATTCGTGTGATGGTTCCTACTGTTACATAGAACCCTTAATAAGGGTAATAGAAATAAGCTGCATTAAATGGTGTCTAGACGAAATAAATAACTACTTTTTTTGCCTTTTTTTCAGAAATACATTTTACAGGTCAACCTATGTTTTTACCTTAACCTATGCTCACAAACTCTGCAGTAACTGAAAGAATGAGGTTGCCAATATTGGTGGTAAAATGAGCATCTGGTAAAGTGGCCCTCTGGATGCCTCCTTAGGGAGGTCTTTCAAGCATGTCTAACTGACAGGACACCTCGTGGAGAACCCAGGTCAACCTGGAGAGACAGTGCCTCTCTGCTGACCTGGGAACATAAAATCTTTCTGAAAGAGCTGGAAGAGGTGACTGTAATATGAGATGTCTTGGCCTCTAAGCTCAAGCTGACTGAAACAAGCGAATGATAACCAGGGGCGGAGCTAGACTGTTTTTGCAAGGGGTTGAAGAAATTTATAGTTATTATAGCTTAGTACTGATATTACAAACAACACCAGATTATTAGGGTTTCCTTATTTTATAATACTTTTATAATGTTTGTTATATTATGTGTAGATACATGTCCGAATCATTAAACAACACATATTTTTTAAAGCTGTAATTACATAAGGGTGAAGATTGTTTGTCTGAATGCCTGGGATTCAGCCATAGGCCAGCAGGGGGCGAACTCAGGCATTGAAGATTTCTGGACTGTATTTATAAGGGGGACTTCCTGTTTTTAATTCAGTGTGTGTGGTTTTGAATTGTCAGCCGGTGGCATAATAAACCTCACCCGCTCCAGAATTCTGGGTTGTATGACATTTATTTCCTATCACAGGTCATCTTATTTAACACTTGTGTTTTCATCTGATTTCAGCCAATATTAAACACGTATTTCTTACAGGGTGGCACAGGAGTGGCCAAGGCATTTTAGGGGGTACATACAAATGAAAAAAAAAACCTCTGGATTTGAAAATGCAATATGGCCGCCACAGCTGGTTCTAAATGACTTTAATTCGGTTGTTTTAAGCAGTTTTGACCTGAATTTTTTTTGTGATCATAGCTAAGAATGATCAAAAACACGCTGAATGCTAATCACAACTTATTATTCAGCTATTTTAGACATACAAAATTGAAGATTAATGTAAAAAAATATTCAAGATGGCCACCACAGTTAACTTTAAAATGTTTTAAATCAGTCGTTTTAAGACTTATTGAGATGAAATCTGTTGAGTAGCTATGAATAATCACATGCTGATTGCAAATACTAATCCCAAATTAAACTAAATGCTATTGCTAATGCTAACTTTACAAGGAACTGTAATTTAGTCTTTTTTTAGCATGCACAGCTGAAAACATGTATAGTGTAGTATCAGAGAACAATCGTTAACTAAACCTAAATGTAAACACAAAATCTGCAATCCTCACCCTTTTGTTAATTATTTGGGGGTGGCACCCGGGTGGCCAGTCAGGTACCAGAGGTGGCACTTGCCACCCCAGCCACCCCTCTAGCTCTGCCCCTGTTGATAATGGATATGATACTTTCCACCCCCTTCATCTTCATCTTCCACACTGATCCTCATGACCCACTGTCGTTCATTAGATGTTTCCCTGCTTCAACACGCCTGACTGAAATGAATGAGGGATTGGCAGGCTTTTGCTAAACTTGATGATGTTCAGAGCAGGTAATGCAATTATTTGAATCAGGCATGCCAAAGCAGGAAAACAACTAAAACAACTCTCTGGAAGTAAAGGAGGGAGTAAATGGAGCAACTCACTAAAGGTTTAAAGCTCAAGGGAAGCAAAATATTTACAGGAAACAAGAAAATAAAGTCAAATAGCCTTTTAAAAAAAATGTAACAGTTACCATGACCTGCATGCCTGAGAATTTTCACTAATAAATTGAAGTGTGTTCCACAAGACATTTCCTGCTTGTAAAACATCTGCTTTCTAAACAGCAATTTAGATTCATGGTAAATAAACGCAGAAACATAAAATGGTGTAAAAGAAATATCTCAGTGAGAATATACAGTGTGTGCAACATGTTTTCCTCAAGCAATCTCCTGACTGGACATCTTAAACATCTAGAGACAAATGAATCTTTTCTTCATCACAACAAAGACCTACCAGCAAATTCATTGAAGTGGTTGCCGATATCAAATGCCTGGTAGTTGTAATCTGCATATTCATAGTCAATAAATTTCACCGTTCCTGCAGGAGAAGCAAAGGGATGACAGCAGCAGTTACCAGGACAACACAATGAGCACACATCTGTGGTATGGATGCACAACGGACAACCTTCACCCCGTTAACTGAAAGCACACAACACTGAGGAGGTCAAAACAACAAGGAGTCTCTTTATAATGCGTCCTTCGGGGTAACTTTGCAAAGTGAGTGTGAATGAGAAACTTGTCATAATAAAGCTTCTGATCATAAAATTTTAAAAAAGGAAGTAATTCTGTTGGCTTTGTTTTTCTCGAACCGATGAAAGGAAACGCAACGGTTCACAGCTGAAAAGAAGCTGGTTTTCCTCACCCTCTTTGTGGTTGTAAATGATGTTTTTTGTGAGGAGATCGTTGTGGCAGAGGACAACCGGGGAGTCGATCTGCGAGAGGTGCTTCTTCAACGACTCCATTTCCACCGATAAAGTCTCGTAGCTGGGCACCCCCTGTAGAGCTGCAGGCCTGGAAGAAGTGCAGGCAGGAATCTCACTTTCAGTTTTCCGTTGCTCAAATGTTTTCAGTGTTTTCATTGAAATTAAAGTGTTGGGAGATGTAACCGTGAAAGGCCAACATTCGCAGCCTATATTCAGCCCTCAGGATCTATTTAAGATCAAAGGCCACACTGATAATTATCAACTTACTGCATATGGTGGGAACATTTTTTTCTTTACAAAAAGCATCCATATATAGTTTGAATCATTGAAGGAAGGAAATTTGTAACCAAGAAAGAAAATGTTTTTTTAGGTGTAACAATTTGTATAAATTAGGGGTGTCTTCATCCCAGTTTTTATTGCATTACAAATACAAGTACTTCAATTTGAGTACTCGCCAGTACCAAGTTCTTACTGAGTTATAACCTAAATATTATAAAATGACTTTAATTTTTTTTTAAATTTAGAACAAAGTGGCTCTCCTTATTATAGGCCTACAGCCCCTCTGACAGGATCCAATCAAATACACAGCATGATATACTGCTGGAGCATTTTAAAATAAGATTCTCTTTCAACTTATGTGAATTTCATAAATATTGGAATTGCAAAACTGATAAACTTTTCACTTGACGTAAACTGTGACACATTAAATGGAGTATTGAAACCAGTATCAATACCGGTATTCGTATTGGTTCTGAGTATCAGGGCATTTTGTAGCAGTACAAGTACTTGTAAAAATGCTGGTATAAGGACTGGGACACCACTAGTTTGAATTTTGACTGGAACATTTATTTTTTATCAAATAAAGAAAACGTGCTTTTCGCAGTTGCAACAATATGTATGCATACAGCAATTCTGGGGCCACTGGGGGCCAATTTGTCAATTCCCTCTTTTATTAAAAACAATGTCTAATTATATTATCCTACTCAAATATTTTGAACTATAAAAGACCCAACAAAATATTTTTTATTAATAAAATCCTACAAAGTGTTTGTTTCAATTAATTTGACTTAAACTTGAAAGGCAACACAGAACTGAATACTACCTCTCAATGAGAAAATACTAACTATTTAAATGTTTAGTACTCACACGTAGCTCCTCAGCTGGGTGAGTACTAATGTGTTGTTCATGCATAGATATTAAACATATTTATGGCCCATTTGCTTTTCCATAACCAGATTACTTTTATAAACAGCTAACTGAAAACTAACTCACAGTTCTTTAAACGTTGGTTGTCATCTGAAGAAGCAATTCTTGCTTTGCTTTGGTGTAAAGTGCTTGAGGTTGCATCTTTGTTTCCTCTTTTTCTATTTTGGCAGCAAAATACAATTAAAGACAAAACTGTATACAATGTTATAACTAATGTTTTTTTCTCTAATAGCATAGACAGTCAGGGATGTCTCTTCTGTTAAAGATTGGCATGAACATGTACACATACATGCAAACTCTGTTCATTTTGACATCATCTAATGGTAAACAATTGATTCAGTTTTAATGTTAGTTCTATCAAACAATGACACATTATCAGATTTAGGTTTATTCTGAATATTTTCTGTAGCTTTTTAGGTGTAAAAAATCATTGTAAATATTTATGAAACAAAATAGTTTAAAAATTAGGAATAGAATGTAAAACGTTTTGGGTTTTAAAACCTGATTACAAAACGCATATGATTTTTCTTTTTGTACTCTCAAACAAAAACAATACAAGACAAAAAAATATTTATATATATTTAAAAAGTGACGTTTTTGTGGCTTTCGTGACATTTTTTGTTTAAAATATTAAAGGCACTTTTTTGTATTTGACAACAACAGCTTCAGGTTTGTTTTTGAGCAACGAAGGGAGCAGAAGCGCAAATGCCGAACTTTATCATGCACTCTTTACAGGAAGGAAGTGTTTGTAAACTGGTGCGCCACAGTAAGAGGTTCCAGGTCTTGTTTTCACTCTGTTGATTACTCAATCTATCAAAGACAGAACTGAAGTCCTTGGACGTCGGTGCAAAATGCACCTGGAAGAAAAGCTGCGCAAGCATCCATCTTCTAATTAATTTTTGTGTTTCCTTTTCGGTCCCCGCCGTCGGCCCTGACAAGAGGCTTCTTTAAACAGGATTCTTTAAACACTACCTATTTATTCTGAAGGGGAACAAACACAAGCTCCGGTGTTATACACAGCAGAGGACATGATTTAGAGGGGCCTGTGAGGAACGCACAAAAAAAAAAAAAAAAAAAGAAAAGCAAAAGAAGAGGAGCCTTGTTTACAGTCAGGACACTGAGGCTCTGCTTTTTTTATACAACACCACCTACACATTCTCAACAAAAAGTTCATTATCATTTCCCTCCATTTAGTTAGTTTTGAGCCATCCATCTTGATCCATCTCTCCTGAGCTGAGGAGAGATGGATCAAGGGCAGGTCGAGTGACTAAAAAAAGGAGATCTAAATTATAACTTGAATAAAAATGATAATAAATTCTTCTTGCACGTTGCCTAAGTTTTGACCTCTCTAATGAACTTAATACAATACCTTTAAAGATGCTTAAAAGAGACACTTTCCTCTCAAACTGACAATAATTTTTTTTCCCCATCCACACTTTTATAGTATGGACTCAAAAAGGAGTGTTTAATCACACACTTGTCTATAAAATCTTTGTTATTGAAAACCAAACCCCTCTGACATTTACAAGTCATCCATATCCTCTTCAGTCTGAATTGAAGTAGACATCTGAATGGTGAATCACCCTGATTCCTTTTCAACTCCTCTGTTTCTTTAACCTAACTGAGTTTATCGTAGGAGCCCACGAATACTCGGAGTGAAAAGCCAAAACGAAAGACTTTGCTTTGACTTTAAATGGAAACCTGTCGTCTTGCCATCAGATCTTTTCCTCTTTTTTTTCCTCTTCTCACTCTTTTGGTCCTTTTCATGAAAACGAGCGCGTTTCGAGTACGTTCGCCTCCTGCTCCCACTGTCAAGTCTCTGTAAAGTAATTAGTGGAATTTCCTCCTCTGGCGCTTCATTATCAATGTGCCTTATTTACATATGATTTCAAACACCAGCCGTGCACTGCAGATTTTCTTTAATTTATTTTATTATTTATTTCTTTTTCTTTTTTTCCCCCAGCCTTATGTGACATGTGGGGATGCAAATGGGAGACGCAGCAGGGGTTTTTTGGGAGGTTGCACTCATGCCTTCCATCGCTTTTCGTTCTTTTCTCCCCCTGTCTCTGACTCGTGTCTCTGCCTCCGTCTCTTGCAGCTGCTCCAGCTTCCTTTGCCCCCCCTCCCCCCATCCTTCCTCCCCTTGCGCCCCCCCTCCAAGTCTGTTTCTCCATCTCTCTCCCTCAGCGGGTGGCTTGAGAGCTGAAGACCTCCTCTGCAGGTGCAGCCTCTTCCTGCTCTCTCCCTGCCTTTCTTCTGCCGTTTCCTCTGAAGACCACATTCACATCGGCTCTCGAATACAGTCTCAAGTACAAAAGTTTCTCTGATGCATATTTAAAACCCTGTTTTTTTTTTTTCCACCATTTGACATTTCGACCTGTGTGCCGTGTCACACACACAGTTGCACATTCAAGAGACAAGTGGTTACGCACATAAATGCACGCTGCAGTTTTAAACTCAAGTTATCCTCTAAATAACATGTCATTTCTTGAATTCAAAACTTCATGTTTAGCTATATTAAACTTTACATTTTTCTACTTAGAATGTAGCACTCTTATGACTTATATCCTATTTATTGATCATTTCCGAGACATTTTAATCACTCCAAGCGTCTTTGTGAGTAAATGTCTCACAACATAGCACCATCTGTTGGGCCTCTGAATGTGGTGCAGTTGACTCTGTTTCAGGTTTTAAACTCTGCAATGACTTTAAAAAGTTCCACCTAAAGCCTTAAATGGAAAAGTATTAAAATTATTAATAATTGCTCACTCCATTTGCTTAAAGACAAAGATGCAGACCCTTCCAATTTCAGTTAGCGTGGACCCCCCTTCACTGCAAACACAAATAGTGTTTTACTGATAAGGAGCTCAGCAGAAAGCTCATTTCCAAGTGTCTGTTTCGTTGTAGTGTCTGAACCCCACCCCCCACCCATACCCCCACGATTCCCCACTCACCCTGTGACCCCTGTCGGTGATAATGCACTGTCACACGGCTCCCCCAATTCACCACCCCCCACACCCCCCCACACACAGCCTTTATCACTGTCAGCTCACTAGGAAGCTGTTGTAAAAAACTGGATTTTCCTAAAAAGCAACAAATGTGCAGAAATGTGAGTAAGTCAGAGGCATGGCTGTCGTCTGGTTTCTGTTAAGAGAAGTCAACATGACAGTTTACCGGAACAGACGACTGAAACTATTTTTACACATCTGAATTTTTTTTATAACTGAAATGTTATAAACCCTTAATAATATTAGTAACTGCTTTGGGGGAGGGGTACACTGTGGGGCAGGAGCTTAGTTCAAATAGGTGGTGCTTTGTACCAGCAAGTGTTTAGTCAGCTCCACAGGAGATTTAAAGATTTCTCAAACATGCATGAATGAGTCAAAGCAGCACTCTGGGTGTGTATTTGATGAGGAAATGACATTATTACATGACATAAAGCTAAAAAAATGTAGACTTTGCATAATACCCCCCCCCCCACCTCCATAACTTCAGAAGCAATGAATTTAGTTAAATAAACTCAGCATGTATCCTCAGTTTGAATTAACACCAGTGTAAAACCTCTAAGGACATATTCACTTTGTAAACACATGATTTTTTTTTCTGCTTGGTTTTGTAGTTTGTGATTTTGTACTTTCTTCAGAACTACGTTGGTCACACTTGTGAGTTTTCCTCAGTGATCTCTTTCAGATCTTTAAACCTGTCTGTGAAAGGGTTCTGGTTGATGGCTCTCCTAAAATACAGTCCCTGTTTCTTTTCTTTCTCAGCCATCCTACCAGGATAGTTCACCAGTGGCCTTCCTGAACTGATTTTGTCATGCTTGGTCTGTTTTCAGCCCCATCCCATTCACCTGGTTTCTGATGGACATAATGGGACACCAAGAACTGATCCTTAAGTTACTGTTACTGTCAAAGTGTTTTTGGTTTTGCATTGGTTTTTGCAAGATTTTATTTGTCGGTTTAGTCTTTTCACTTTGCTCAGAGCTGATCATGTTAGTGTAAGCCATGGCTTACATCAGTGATTGTTGAGCTTAATACTTCTTACATCTGTTTCTCATCGTCAGTCTACTTTTTTCTTTCTGTAATCACCTTTGCCAGTAAGAGCACTGTATTTCCCACTAATCGTCAGATCATCTTGTTCATGTCTTACTGCCTGATTATGTTTAGATGTTACAATTTTTTATGTCCTTTATATTATAT